TCCATGGGTGGCAGCCAAGTTCATTATTTGGGGGGACTTCCCCTTTTATTTGGAGATTTCACTTTTTTTGGTCGGGTAGGTATAGAAGGGTTTTGCTGGTCTAGAAACGCCATTTATGATACTACTGAAGTTAACGCGCAACCTCTGCGGTCGTCCAATTGGAGCCTGGGGAATCGTGGCGCGTCCGCCTTTGTGACAAAGTCACACACGAACCTAGCCCCTGATAAGTGTGTCGAGTGTTGCCAGACAATTGAAGGACGTGTAGTAATACTGGTACCTTTTGAGCAACTTGGACATTGGTACGTCTTTCTGGGTGTAACGATGGCCATTTTTATATCAATAAAACGATAACAATGTTTTGGGTCTTCAGATGGAAACTGGATGTAAAATGGAACAACAAGAGTTTTGTTCGACAGGCATCTTTTGTTCATAAAACTGAAGGACTTCCAGGGGTGTAAACCGAGGTGCAACTCCCCGGGCACCAAGGGTGCACACATTTTTAAAAGGATGCACGTAATCCAAAAATGTGGCTTTGGTATCACACTGGGGGATGGGCCTCAAATGTGTATCCCCCGCCCATTCGCCTAACGGGATCATTACATTACTACAAAATGTATGTTCCATTCATTTTAGAGTGATTTTCACGGTTATGCTTTGGCATTGTCTGGCACGAAATACCGCACCAATGTATAACATTTTACTCCTGAATGAACACGAGGAAGACTTTTCTTTTCTGAAAAGTTTAAGGTATTTTTTTAATAACAAAGGCACTATGACTTTGCTGTGCTTGTTTGGCTTTATAGCAATCCTATCTGCCATGTTAGTACAAGCTTCAGCCTCCAACGTCTGGATCGGTTTGAATGACCGAACTGCAGAAGGGGTCTACCGATGGGCTGATGGTACCCCTCTGACCGGATTCACAAACTGGGGTCCAAATCAACCCGATAACGGAAATAATGCCTTCCAGGAGGTACAGGGAGACTATTTTTATAAGTATTAAGCAGCAAGGTACTTCAATCTTTATCATTGTGCCAAATGGGTTCCTTTGTAGCCGCTAGCCATGCTTTGGCGTGTGGCCTAGCTACTGTGAGTACCCTTTGCTCAACTAGATTACAACTTCACTCCCCCACAAGATTCTTAATATTTCACACTGCGCATCACTTTGGTTTTAGACTTGTGCCACGTACTTGCTCTTTTTGTGACTGAGAAAAATCATCAGAGAACTTTACGTAAAAAATCAAGGATTGTCACAGGGTGGAAAATATAAAATATATAAATATATAAAACCCAGGGATACACAGTTCGACCTGGTTGAAAGGCATTCTTAAATGGGGTTTATAATACAAGAGATTGCCGGTCCCAGTGGCAGGATACTTGCTATATACCGTAACAAGTTTTTATGGCGATTCCATAATCCAGGACTGCATGTATCTACGAGCAAACGAGGATTTCCCAGGTGAATGGTACGATGGATATTGTGACTATCCTCGGGCGTACATCTGTGAGAAGCCTCAAGGTAAACTTCTGACTAAAGCAG